TTTAATAGCTATTTAATGAGAAATCCAATATTGCAAAATTCAAATTGAATGATTGAAAGAACAGAAAAAGTCATTCTTTTCAATTTCGAATATGTTTCATTGTATTTATAATTATATGGCAAATAAGATATTTAAACTTGATTTTTGAAGGAAAATTCACAAAATTGAATAAATTCAAATAATTTTTATTCAAAAATAAACTAGTTATTTGAGTTTAATACTAATTATCTATTCAAACTACAAAGTTTGTAATTTAAAATATTTTGTGAGATCAGATTGAATTAATTCAAGGTTCTTTTCAATTAATATTAATGACCATATTACGCATTTTCGAACATTCTAAACCAAATATATAAAAATGGGAGACGAATGTTAAATTTGCTAGACATGGGGGAGTTGTCTGCAAAGTTTTAGCTCTTATCTCTAACAAAAAATTAATTTTTAAAAAAATGACCGAATACGTTTCACAGCGAGAAAAAATAAAAGGCAAGATAGAATTTTCTAGACATAAAGAAGTTGTTTACCGAGTTTTAGCTCTTATCTCTAACAAAAAATTAATTTTTAAAAAAATGACCGAATACGTTTCACAGCGAGAAAAAATAAAAGGCAAGATAGAATTTTCTAGACATAAAGAAGTTGTTTACCGAGTTTTAGCTCTTATCTCTAACAAAAAATTAATTTTTAAAAAAATGACCGAATACGTTTCACAGCGAGAAAAAAATAAAAGGCAAGATAGAATTTTCTAGACATAAAGAAGTTGTCTACCAAGTGTCAGCTGTTACTTCTTCTCAATACTGATATAAAATAAAAATCTTTATTATTTATTTACCCTTTATTGTTTCATTAAACTTCATTTATTTTATATTATAGTTTTATTCTTTTAGCTACTTGTAAAATAATCTAATTTTATATCATCATTTTACCGGATTATTCTTCAGTATATAGATCCAAGGTGATGTGATTTTTGCATCCCTGGGATGGACGATACACCCAAAGTGTCACCTTTTTTGGGATAACATGAATTTGAAATATCATGAGAGTTCTGCAAACCATATGCACAATATCTATTCAGCCTGACTTCTTGTATATATGAGTTAGACTTCTTAAATATTGTGCTTGGGGCGATATAAGCATTTCCGAGATTACCATCGTGCTCTATAGTATGCTACTTCTCCCTGGTTCTAGCTCAGTTCCAAGGATATTGGCGTTCAAGGATTTGGCAAGGTCCTTCCGAAGTCTCTCATTCGATGAGAGATTTCGGAAGAATCTTGCCTTAAAGTACTCCAACTCTTGTTCTTTTGTTCCTAAATAGTGAGAAAAGTTATTTGACTACTTAAGGTAGAGATTATCCGAGGTCCCTCATTTGATGAGAGGCCTTGGATAATCTCTGCTTTAAAATTGTACACTTGTAGTCCATGAGAGTGTAAGTATACATTGATAGGACAGCTTTCTTCTGAAGTCTTAGATTTGATGAGAACCTCAGAAGAAAACTGTCATATTTTATAGTAAAAGGAGTTTCAGGAGCTCCAAAGCTCCCTTTCGTAAGGATTAGGAGCTTTGGAGCTCCTGGTTCGTAGATGTGTTTCGCATCTTTCATCAGCAAAGGACATTTACCATCTGGGACTCTGTTGATGGAGACTCAGGAGCTCCAAAGCTCCCTTTAGTAAGGATTAGAAGCTTTGAAGCTCCTGGTTCGTAGACGTGTTTCGCATCTTTCATCAGAAGAGGCCCAAATGGTAAATAGCCTCTGCTGATGAGCTTCAGGAGCTCCAAGACTCCTCTCGTAACGATTAGGAGCTTTGTAGCTCCTGAAGGTAAGGTAGGATTGCTCTGATCTCTAATCAGTAGATGCCATGCCTCATTATGAACTCTACTGACAAGAGATCAAGAGCTCCAAGGACTCCTTTTTTAGTTAGTGGCGTTCTCACCATTTAGTAGGATTGCTGATCCTACTAATGAAGTGATCACTTAGTATACGTTTTGAATAAATTGAATTTTTTTTAGAATTTAGTATTTTTTATAGACATCACATGTATATTATAAATACATAAATATATTCTTTAATTCAAAAAAATTCAATTCGGTTTTGGGATGGGCATCCCAGCCCCAAAGTATTCATATTTATTCAATTTTTTAAGAATTTTGGGTTGGGATGCCCAGACCAAAACAAGCTTTATATTTTGATGTGTAGATACGTATGTGTGCATCATTGTTGTGTTATATATTATGTTTTTAATGAAAAAAAATCTGATTCAAAAAAAATTATCACTAATTAGTTGATAATATAAAGAAAAAATAGATAAATTGTATGTTTTGAGAGTATTTATCCACATTCACTCATATGAATTTCATTAAATAGTGTCTTTTTACTCCCAAATTTATTTTGAATTATTGAAATCAAAGAAAAAAAATCAGAAAAATTTCTCGAAATTTTTATTTTCAAAAAAAATTTGGATTTTATATTGAAAACTGACACTGGGAGGACGATAGGGCTGGGATTGGAGATACCCCGCTCACTTGGGAAAAATACGGATCTATACTTCAGTACATCGATTGTGTATCTAAAATAATATCATTATCCTTATTCTGTTTTTTCCAAAATTCTTTTAAATATCTTTTTTGGTTAGATTACTTTATACTTTTTACTTTTATTTTTTAATTTCAAAAAAATTTGGTGATTGTTCTATTCTGTTACAATGTGCATTATCATATTCTAATGAATTATTCATTACATACATTTAAAAAAACTTGTTAAAAATGAAATTAAAAAATTATGTTTATTATTACGCTGTGAATGTGTCAACAGCGGTCATGCCTGTATCTGTATCCCATATTTGCCACAATCTTTCTGTATCTGCATTTGTGTATTTCGGTTTCAGCTGATACATTTGATTTGGCGTGTAATTTGTTCCAGTTAATGGATTAATTGGGAGATCTTCATGCGGTGTGTTATTATTGTACTCCCAAATAAAGGCAGGAATAGCCTGAATGCTTTGGCAGCGCTCCAATGTCGGCCAGAATCTCTCAATCTTCCCATTTTGGTAGGGAGAATGAGAGTCTGTATGCCGCCATTGGACGCCCCAAAGATCAAGTAGATCTTGAAAGGCGCCCCTATTTTCTGAACCGTTGTCGGTCCAGAAACAATAAGGGGCGCCAAATTCAATGAAGGCGGAAGCTGCAACGTTCGCTGTCGTCGCTGCCAGCATATCTGGTATTTGTATACACGCTAGGACTTTGCGGCTAAAATCGTCGATTATGCCATAAATATACTGGCCACGAACACCCCTAAAATAATGAACATCTGCGTGCCAGATAAGATTGGGTGAAAGCGCCCAATATCTTACTGCTGTTTCTGGCCCGGCATGCTCTAATCGCGTCTTGGTGAAATGATTTTCTTTGAAGTATCTGCGTACTTCTCTATAAGATACATCAATTTGTTGTAATTTCAAACGTTTCCATTGTTTTGTTTGACCACAGGGAAAGGCCCAGTGGTCATGTATCACAGCAAGAGCTTTGATTTGGTCGTAGGGATTGACCCTACAACCTTTCTTGCCTTTAGGCAATGGGATATTCTGTAAGCTAAATTGATTTTGTAAAAAAGATTTTGAAACATCTAAATATTTGAAATCATTTGATTGAAGGGTTGGGGCGATGGGAACATGGGTGCAAGCTTCTTCCCATGTCATTTTACCTTCTTCAATCTGATTGGAAATACCAATTAGGTAAATTCGATCGACATACCCTTTGTAAGGATTCATTCTAATGAAGTACGTTAACAATCAAAATATTCTATAAGTGTCTAGTATGGAATTCAAAAGAATAAAGAAAATGGTAACGTAAATAAACGTATTATGAAATAATTTATAATTAAAATGAAAAAAAGAAAAAATAATAAATAAAGTGACTGGAAATGAAAATGAAAATCAGTGTACAGTTTTATTTTTTTCTCGCTGTGAAACGTATTCGGTCATTTTTTTAAAAATTAATTTTTTGTTAGAGATAAAAGCTAAAACTCGGTAAACAACTTCTTTATGTCTAGAAAATTCTATCTTGCCTTTTATTTTTTCTCGCTGTGAAACGTATTCGGTCATTTTTTTAAAAATTAATTTTTTGTTAGAGATAAGAGCTAAAACTCGGTAAACAACTTCTTTATGTCTAGAAAATTCTATCTTGCCTTTTATTTTTTTCTCGCTGTGAAACGTATTCGGTCATTTTTTTAAAAATTAATTTTTTGTTAGAGATAAGAGCTAAAACTTTGCAGACAACTCCCCCATGTCTAGCAAATTTAACATTCGTCTCCCATTTTTATATATTTGGTTTAGAATGTTCGAAAATGCGTAATATGGTCATTAATATTAATTGAAAAGAACCTTGAATTAATTCAATCTGATCTCACAAAATATTTTAAATTACAAACTTTGTAGTTTGAATAGATAATTAGTATTAAACTCAAATAACTAGTTTATTTTTGAATAAAAATTATTTGAATTTATTCAATTTTGTGAATTTTCCTTCAAAAATCAAGTTTAAATATCTTATTTGCCATATAATTATAAATACAATGAAACATATTCGAAATTGAAAAGAATGACTTTTTCTGTTCTTTCAATCATTCAATTTGAATTTTGCAATATTGGATTTCTCATTAAATAGCTATTAAAAACAACAAGCAATTTAACTTACATTCAAATTTATTTGTGTTATATTCAATCTTCTCAAAACTTATAATTTTCGGCTATAGCATGATTATATGCTATATAATATAATAAACCTATAATAGTATCATTCTTTCAATTATTTGAAGAGAAAACCGAAAAAATCTATTTTCGGTCTATAACAGTTTTGGATAATTATACTTTTGATAAAATTATCGTATCTAATGTACTTTTTGTTTATTTCGGAATGTTCATATGATTTTATAATAACATTCTATCAATACAGTTTAAGAAAAATTTGAGATCAACGATTTTTGAAAGCAATTCAATTGGAATTTTTATCTGATGGGTGTTGCTCAGAGTGCAATTAACCGAGGTTTTATTTCGGAGAGTGATGCTGCTAAAATGTCTGAACAGAGCTACTTTTCAGAACGCCAGATCTTTGTTTTAGCCCAAATTTTCAGGAATTTGACAAAAGAATCCCAAATTAATGCGGAAACCTTTGCCAAAAACATGAAAATTAGTAATAAGAGTATTGGAGAAATCCTCTACAAGATTATTGATGATGATGGGAGCGGTGACATCGATTTCACTGAATTTGTCGAGGGTCTGAACAAATTCCATCCCAATGCACCTTTTGATGAAAAGGTCAAGCTTTGCTTCCGGGCTTATGATAGCGATGGCAGTGGTGCAGTTTCAAAAGAAGAAATTACAGATGTCATTAAGCTTTCTATCGAAGGTAGTAGCCTAATTGAACTTGAAGATGCTCAAATTAATCTTCTTGTTGATCAATTAATCAACACTTATGATAATTCAGGAAGTGGTGAACTTAATTACAAAGAATTCTATCAAATGGTATCCTCAGCTCCCGGTGTGATAGAGTGCTTTGATATTAATCTTGATGTTTTGTTTGGTTGAAACATCCCTGATTTCATTGTCTTTATTCCTCAAAATTCTTTATGTTAACCCGTTTTTTCATTAAATTTTTACTATTTTAATACTTAAACTTTTTCGTTATTTAGGAGTTATTGTTTAATTATGAAAACTTATCCTCTTTTATTTCGAATCTTGCAAAAGGCTTTTTCCAATAATAAAAAGAGATATTTTTACATGAAAAATATTTTCAGGTTGGCTAAGTGGCATATTTGCGATTAAAAAATCTCAATAGAAAAAACATAATTCAATTATACCTAAATTAATTCAATAGCATGGAATATTTATCGTTTTCAGAAGAGAATTATCGTAAACTTAGTATTTGATATTCATAAATTACATATTAGAAAATTGTAAATAACTGTTGTCTAGTTTCAGATTGAATTCAATGAATAGTATGTTAAGGGTGTAGTGTTGGAGTTGAGTAATTGAAGATATTTCAACTTGTTTAATATTTAAATGGAATAAAGGAACAATAAAAGAAGAATCAACTCTGGTTATCGAACACTTATTGAATAATTGGGTATCACAATGCAACATCCAGTATAGGAGAATCTTATCAATAGGCGATCAGCTTTTTCAATGAAATTTTTGATTAATTTTTTATTTTTTAAAGATTTTAGATTCCATATATTTGATTTGTATTTAAGATTTTTCAAAACAATAATTCTAACGAATTGCGATCAATTTGAAAAGATCAAATTAATTTTTATGGTTGCATCAATTTTAACATTTTTCACCGACTTTTTGTAAATTTTGGATCTCAATTTTTGAAGCTGCTGAAATTTCCGATCAAATGGATAGTGATACTGATTCATCTTCTCCGCCACAGGAACGCAAAAAGAACATTCAAATGGTAGAAGTAAGTTCCAGTGATTCTTCATCTGATTCATCAATTGAAATCAATGTGAGAAGAAATTCTAATCAAAATACATCAAACAGAGGAAGACGAAGAAGAAATCAAAATGAAGGAGTTACAGAAAGAAGAAGGAGATCATCATCAAATAACATTAATCAAAACTCTTTACCGAATGATAATAAGCCAAAAGTAATTTCTGTTTCTGATACGATGACAGGAGATAAATCAAACAAGGACTCAGAAACAAGTAGTTCTGAAGTTCATCCAATTGCTCAACAAGAAATTCCAAATCCAATTGTAAGCGAACCACCAGCATCTATTCCAGAACCAGTAACAGATAATGAAGTAAATTACGCAATCATTCGTACACATTCTGTTATTAAAAATGTTTATACATATAAATTTCACCATGAAGGAAACATAATATTCTCTGCCAAATGCAAGAAGAGAAATCCCAATAAGCCAATAGTTATAACAGCTGGAGAAGATGTTCATATTTCCGTTCAAGGAGATTATTATTTAGTTCCTGAAAATTCTGCAACAATGTTTACTTTGAGAAAACGAACTGAAACAGGTACTAAATTAATGACCGCACATATATTACATAATATGGAAAACTATATTTTACCAAGATTAGTTACTGTTTCTTTAACAGAAGAAAACGGATTGCCCATGCAAACACTTGTTACAAGAAAACCGAAAATGAACCGCAATGGAATTTTCACCCTTGATTTCCAAAACAGATTTACAATAGCAAGTGAAAAGAATGCGATTTTCTACAATCAGGCACTAGGAAGATCATCGCAAAATGTCCTTTGCGTTAGAAAAATAGCTAAAGAAACTTTAGAAATCAATACAACGGATAAATTACCTCCATATTTAATTTTTGCAATTGGTCTTGTTATGTTCACTGCTAATTTAGGCAGTTAATTTGTTGTAATAATAAAATATTCATGAAATTTACCTCTTTATTTATTTCTTTTTCCAAAATTTTATTTCAAAAAGGGTTAGATGTGTGGGTTTCAGATGATGATTGTACTTTTGTCTATATAATTCTGGTATAACGGATCCATTATGAAATCAAGAAGTTCAAATAAATTTTCACTCATAATCCCTCTGAAACTAAATATATATTAATATTTCTTATGCAAGCTGCTCTTTTTTCTTTTAATATCTCTAGACTTATGTGAGTTTATGTGAAATAAATCAACTTAATCGATGAAATTATTGAATGATAATCAAAATTATGGTAAATCTAACCAGCAATATCACAAATCTATTTTGAATGGAGTAAATATATAATCTAATGAATATGACAAGTATTTATGCATTATTCTAAAATTCGAACTTTTATTTCTTTTGTTTTACTCATTATTTTTATTTTTTCTGGTTTCCACAATAAGTCCTATCAAGAAGAAGCATTTAAGTGTAAGATTGTTGCTTAACAAATATTTTTGAGGAGAAAATGATCGTTCCCGGATTTTTTTTGGCCATAAATGTTTAATCTCTTATTTATCTCAGCCATCGCTGCAGAAGATGTTGGCGTTGGCGGATTCATTAAGATTAATTTCCCATATAATGGAAATAATGCCGAACTTCTTTCTAAACTCACAGTTGTCGTTAAAACTCCACAAGGATCAACTGTTGATGAAGCCGAAGTTCAGCCAAGTGGCTATTGGCTTATCCCAACACCTGCAAACCACGAACTCGTTGTTTCAGTACGTGGTCCACAAGGAATGGTCTTTTCTCCAGCAACAAAGAATGTCAACTTCCCATTCAACAGCGATATTGACTTCCAAATTCTTGGTTTCGCAATTTCAGGTAAAATTACAACTAGAACATCTACAGGATCAATTGTCCACGTTTCAGCTTCTTTAAATGTTCAAGTTGATCAAGTTGATGGAAACATCCACCTTACGACAACATCATCACCAGATGGCACCTTCTCAGTTGGCCCAGTTTATTCTGGCAAATATACAGTCCAAGTCAAAGATGCAATCGCAGATCCACAAACAATTGTTGTAGAGAACGATTGCGCTGTCTGCCCACCTCTTCTTATTACAGACTGGCCACAGAACGGTAAGGTTGTCTTCCCAGAAGGCGTCACACCGAGAAAAATCAAACTTTTATTATCTGGCTCAGCACAACGTGAAGTAGAGACAGATTCGGATGGCTTCTTCTTACTCAAGAACCTCAATGTTGGCAACTACGTACTCAACAGTGCTGAAAAAGGCGTTTCTATCTCTCAATTATCATTTTCAGTTACATCATCTCAACTTCCAACGCCATTATCATTACAATTCCTCGGTATTTCCATCAGTGGTTCCGTAAAGTACCCCAATGGCCAACCACTCGCTGGAGTTCCCCTCATTTTATTACCAGCAAATTCAAAGACAACAACAAACGCAAATGGTGAATTCTGCTTCAACAGCATCCAGCCAACACAGACACCATCATTACGCGCTGAACTTCCATTCTATACATTCAATATTCCACAAATTGAAGCAATCCAGACATTACCAATAGAAAACCTCCAAATTACAGTACAGAACGCTAAGATCAGCGGTACAGTTGAATGCTCATCCGCAGATCTTACATTTTCTGGTGCAATTTCCCAATCATTTACAGTTACCAACAAATCCTTCACTGTTTCAGCCCCATTCGGCAAGGATGTTGTCGTAAAGGCTGTTTCAGAGTGTGGATTTGAGTCCTACGAGTTCACAGTTCAAGCTCCAAGCGATTCCATCAAATTCCGCTCAATTAAGGCCAAAGTCACCGGATCCGTACAGTGCATTAACGAGTGCAGCGACTTGAAGCTCACCATGTCCAATTCCCAGTTCAAATACCAGATTCCTGTTGATGTCAACGGCCATTTCGAAGAGGAAGTCGATTTCGGAACATATTCCCTCAAATTGAACCATCCTTCCAACCAAGTCTGGTCCGACCTTGTCACTTCACTCCAGGTCACATCTAAGAATGTGAACGCAAACAAGGTTGCTGTACAGAAAGCGTATAAGTTTACAGTGGTTTCATCCCACGCCATGACTGTCCAGTGCGGCGAGAAGACTCTAAGCCTCCAGCGTGGAAGTAATGACGTAGAAGTCGAATCTACGGTCATCAGTCCAGCCGATTGCCACATTTTCGAGGCAACAGACTTGAGAGAGAATACCCGTATTATCGTATCTAAGATCGAGCGTGAAGTTGTTATAAAGAATGACGTTGCAGAATCAAAATCTGAAGTTTTCGTAAACAACAAGCGCATCCAAGCCCCATACAAATTCACACAAGACCTCAATGAGCTTGTTACCGTACAAGTTGCTGTTGCAGCCCCATTCTACGTTGAGCCATCTTCATTACAGGTCTCTGTTCCAAAGGATTGCTCAGGCTGTGGTATCCAATTCGAAGTCATCCGTGGTGTAGAATACAGCGGCCGCATCTTCCCTCCTCTAGAAGGTGTCCAAGTCACTGCATCTGACTCTACCGGAAAGATAATTGGTCAGACCACAACAACCGCCGCCGGATCCTTTACACTCGGCTCACACCCATCGAATGCAAATATCACACTTTCAGCCACAAAAGCCGGCTACAACATCATCAGACACGAAAACTCCTTTGATTTAGATGCAGAAAAGCTTGCAACGATTTCTGCTGAGTTCTCTGATGAAAAGGCCCATGGAACATTACTCGCACTCACAAGAACCGACGGATTCAAGATGACAACAACAGTTTCCGGAAAATCCGCTTTGTTCACAAATTTGGCACCAGGAGAATACTTCGTAAAGCCAATCAAACGCGAGCACGTCTTCGAACCATCAATGGCATCATTCACCCTCAAGGACGGCGCTGACCAACAACTTCATTTCTCTGTCATCAGATCAAGATTCGGAATTTCAGGTGAAGTGAAGTCAATTTCTGGCCGACCAGAACCAGATGTTGAAGTTACAGCACATTTCTCAAATGGCGAGAAGATCTCTGATGTTACAGATGTAAAGGGTAACTTCAGACTTGGCAATCTCCTTCCAAACATGAGTTACACAGTTACAGCTGCTGCAACAGGAACATCCAAGGCCGGAAGAATCACTCCAGGATCAATTGTTGTTGAATTGGGAGAGGCTGATTACGAAGGACTCAAATTCAACTCAATAAGACCAGCGAAGAATTACGATGTATTCGGAACAGTTGATATTCAACCAGCAATGTTGGATTCATTAGTTGTTTTGCTTGAAAAAGAAGGAGGAATTGTTGTTCAAGATTTCAAGTTCCAGTCACAGAACACTGGTTTCTTCTTCTTCACGAATTGCACTGATGAGAAATACAATGTAAGAGTTGCATCTGTTAGAAGTGGTGCTGAATTCTCTTGCCCAACAGTTGAAGTCGACAGAAAGAGAAAGGATGTTGAAATTAAGTGCGAAGTTAAGGAGTCTAATGATGTAGCGTTCGAAATCGGTTCTCAGTTGGAGGCGTCATTGGCTGCTTTTTGTTTGTTCGCTTTGTTCATCGTTTTATACAATTTCAAGGCACTTTCTTCAAGCATAGCATCAAAGTTCACAGAAAGAAGAAGACGTTAACTTCTGTTGTATTATAATATATATTTATTTTCTTTTTTTATAAAAAAAGTTTTTTTTGCTAAACAAAAATAAAACAATAAAATCTCAAAAAATAATTTTAAAAACAATTTTAGATTTGAGCTCTCTATTTTGAACTTTTTCATATGAGTAAATCCCTCAAATAAGTACTCCTATACTAAAGATAAGCAGGTTTGGGGATTTGCCTTATTTGATGTGAACTCTACATCAAATTTATGAAAAAAATCGAGATATAAAAATTGCTCACATTTGCTCACATTTTGGCACTTTTTTGTACGTTTGTCAAAAAATTGTGAGGAAGATCTCACAAAAATAGTCAAAATGTGAGCAAATTTTGAGAAGTGCTCACATTTTGACATACGATTATTTTCATACGTTTTTTTGATGAATTCTAATAAAACTTCATTACCACTTTCAGAACGAAGCGTAACTTTTCAGCACGTAACGCTCTATCATGTGTAGTGACATATTATTCAAAAAAACTCAGATTGCTTATCTTATAATAACAATTTCATTAGAAAAAATGCACGATTTCACGCTAAAACTTTGAAGCAATTCTTAAATTCGGATAAAAAATCGATATGTATTACACTTTAAACTTCAAAAAATGGTTCAAAATTTAGACTTAGTTTATCTTAACAATATAGCAGATTTTAAGCCGAACAAGTAGGAGTAATAGAAATAGCTCTTGAAAATAATTACAATTAGTAATATGTAAGTCAAAGTTCGAGTATTCTAATAAATAAACGTTCCGGATTTTCTTTACTACAAGAATCAATACTTAATATATAGAAGCAACAGTAAAAACTTATTAGAGATTCAAAAAGAAAGTTGACTAAAGAGAATCTTTTTATATAAGTAATTTTATTTTTTTGAAATACGAGATCGAATAAACATGTATTTTATTTTATTATATATAATACGTTTTTACATAGTAAGAAAGTTTAGAGACTGAAATGAAATTAAAAATTGAGAAAAAAATAAAGCTTTTCTATAAAAATTCATATTAATATATAGTATAATGATATTACAATTTATTGATAGTTGTGTTAGAAAAAAGGTACATTCACTATTTTTGACAAAATTTTAAATTTTCATGGGGTTGTAAATCTTATAATAACTAGATGAATAAGGAATAAATCCCAGTATGATGTAGTTATTTGTTGTTAATTCGAATGTGTTTAGAGGTAAACTTAGCTTGTGAGATATATATAAATAAAGTGTTAATGCTTTAACCGCTCTTGGTGGAATGACATATAATTTTGTATCCTTATAAATAAATTTAATGTAGTTTTCCATTTTTGTCACTTTTTAAGATCTTACAAAATATAGTTGATTTTTATCACTATTGAAATAAGATAAATAATGTAAGGACTCTAATTTTGTTATAAATATGAATGAAAACAGTAAAATGGATAACTTAAATATATAAAAATAAATATTGGAACAAAGCTATAACAAATTTTCATTCTTATTTATAAATTGATAAACCAAAGTAATACATTTTATTACATTTCGTGTAACATATACTAATATATAGATATTTTTTGAGATAATGTATTTATCTGTAAAAATTGTATGTGATCAAATTTGATTGATAAATTTATTCAGTAATAATAAATTGCATGTACAATATATTATTGTCTTGCCATTTTTTTGCTCATAATAAAAAATCTTTAAAAATGATAACAATAAAAGAGTATTAAGTAAAAATTTATACATCCAAAATATATTTCAGTAACAGCATAATACGCCTATGCTAATTTTTAGTTCTTAAATTAAATAGATGTCCCTAATCCCATAGATATTCACCAAACTTGGCAAATTCTGAACGTGATCTACATATCCCTAGCAAGTAGATCATATTGGTATACGTATCTTGATCAAATAAAAAGAATATTTGTTGAATAATTTCTGTTCAAATTAAAAGTTCTTCAACTTACGGTAAATCTATCTGCCTTAAAAAGTATTACGATATTATGCAAAGTCAATTTTCTCCAAAAAAATATTTGAAGATGATACTTTAAGTATACCAAAAATACAAGAATTTTGAGAGAACTCAATGAATTTTTGTGAAGGTGGAGTTAAATTGAGAAGATTTTTGGTCAGAGAAAAACAAAAATTACTATCTGATAAAATGGTATTAAAATGAAAAAAGTTTAAACAAAGGAAATGAAGAATTTATATTATATTAGAATTTAAAGAGTAAATATAAAAGATTGAAAGAAAGAATAATAATAGGATTCTTGAATGCAACATTTGGAATGATGTTTCCAGTTGTAGATGTGTTAAGCAAAGAGAGATAATGATAGTTTCTTGAGTTTTGAGTTAAGCTTGTTGTAGATGAGAGAGAAATTTTGACGAGACTGAGGAACTTCATTTGGAATGATGTTTCCAGTTGTAGATGTGTTAAGCAAAGAGAGATAATGATAGTTTCTTGAGTTTTTGCAATTAACCATCCTCAATGACTATTGTTTTAATATAATTTTTAAATTTTTTAAAACTGACATTTTAGTTGTATATTTTTTCTAACAAAGGTACATTCACTAGGCGATAACAGTAAAATGGGATGAAAATATGATAAATAGCATCCCTATATAGTGCCAAACAATATTTATACGGGCCAAAAAAATTTGGCTAGAGATTTGGCGAGTTATAAAACTTAGAAAATTGAGAGGGATTTTTATTTTTGAATTTTTTTTGGAAAGTTAAAATTGCGATTAAAAATCGATTTCCAGGAGAACTAAGCATCTCATCATATATTTAAATCGATAAAAATATTAAATAATAGTTGAATAGTATAACAACGTGAAATTATGGCTGAATCTACAGAAAAAATGAACATATTTGACATTTTTGAAAATTCATACGTTAGATGGTGACAGACTCATAAACTATACTTTAGCTAAGATTGATATATGGTTTCAACAACACATGGTTAAAATTGTAAAAATATTTTAGATTTCAAAAAGGTATATATGGTAATATAATGGAACAAAGTCAACAAATAGCATGTTAAATATGTTATAATTAACTTTTTATTAGATCCAATAGTAGATATCGAATGGTTTCCAGCTTTATGGTTAAATATTTTCTTTTCGAGCTTCTCTTTAACTGTTGTATTAAGGTTGTAAATTTTTGATGCTAGAAACTATGGAATCTTCTTTGCTGCTGCATTTTTCTTGAGAGTTCTTGCAATTTCGAATAGATCTGCGCATTGTATGAAATTGAGGCTTTAAAATATCTTGAAAACAGAATAGGACTGCTTTTCCAAAGGAATGCTTACTTGTAAATCAGAGAGTTTCAAAATTGAGAGCAAGATTATCATCATAACTTTCGATTTTGCTGCGAAAAAGGAAGACAAGTAATTAACAAATCATTTACTGTTGTTCATCAAAAGAAGAAAACTTTGATAACAACTAATGATGATAAAATCAAGCTATCTTTTAATATTTTAAATTGATAAGACATTCAAAATATTTGAATGGTTTAAAATATTTTCTTTTAATTTCTATAAGATATTATCATGATTATATAATAAAATTTAAATTTTTATTCAAAAAGGCAATATTTCAAACTTTTAATTTCAAAAATCTTAATTCTGCAATAAGTGTATTTAATTGTAGCAAATTTAATGATCCTTCGTCATGCTTAGCAATTTGGAACTCATAAATTAATGATTTCTTCAAGTAAAATTCTGCATTATTTCAAAAGTCAATAATTCTCTAGTAACTTTTCTTCAAACCCTAACCATTATATTATATGTATAATGGAGAATAATTGCAAAGAAAGATAGCCGAATTTACTGGGTAGTTCTTGTGATGCGAAATAATTGCAAATTAACACATAGTTTTAACAGCATCAATCTCTTTTTGCTCTCATTTAAATGCATTCGCACACTTTAATTTTGAAATATAAGAGTTTTGGAAATTATCAAATTTATCTGCTCAAATACTATAGATCTTCATAAGTGTTAATAGAATCACCAGCCTTACATATAGTGTTTAATATAATGATGCACATCATACTGGGATTTATTCCTTATTCATCTAGTTATTATAAGATTTACAACCCCATGAAAATTTAAAATTTTGTCAAAAATAGTGAATGTACCTTTTTTCTAACACAACTATCAATAAATTGTAATATCATTATACTATATATTAATATGAATTTTTATAGAAAAGCTTTATTTTTTTCTCAATTTTTAATTTCATTTCAGTCTCTAAACTTTCTTACTATGTAAAAACGTATTATTATAGTAATAAAATAAAATACATGTTTATTCGATCTCGTATTTCAAAAAAATAAAATTACTTATATAAAAAGATTCTCTTTAGTCAACTTTCTTTTTGAATCTCTAATAAGTTTTTACTGTTGCTTCTATATATTAAGTATTGATTCTTGTAGTAAAGAAAATCCGGAACGTTTATTTATTAGAATACTCGAACTTTGACTTACATATTACTAATTGTAATTATTTTCAAGAGCTATTTCTATTACTCCTACTTGTTCGGCTTAAAATCTGCTATATTGTTAAGATAAACTAAGTCTAAATTTTGAACCATTTTTTGAAGTTTAAAGTGTAATACATATCGATTTTTTATCCGAATTTAAGAATTGCTTCAAAGTTTTAGCGTGAAATCGTGCATTTTTTCTAATGAAATTGTTATTATAAGATAAGCAATCTGAGTTTTTTTGAATAATATGTCACTACACATGATAGAGCGTTACGTGCTGAAAAGTTACGCTTCGTTCTGAAAGTGGTAATGAAGTTTTATTAGAATTCATCAAAAAAACGTATGAAAATAATCGTATGTCAAAATGTGAGCACTTCTCAAAATTTGCTCACATTTTGACTATTTTTGTGAGATCTTCCTCACAATTTTTTGACAAACGTACAAAAAAGTGCCAAAATGTGAGCAAATGTGAGCAATTTTTATATCTCAAAAAATCGGATCATCTTTTTTTTTCTGTTTCTCCTCTATTTATTATGTGTCCAAGAAGATAACTATGATGTTAAATTTACTGATGATTGGAGCACTCTTACATTTGTTCCATCCAATCTTAAAGGTGCTTATGTTTTTCCAAAATTGTGTACGACCATTCCACAACAACCAGGCAAAGAAGTTGTTGCAAATAGCTTGTTTTTTTCATGTAAGGATGCTATCACATCCATTTCATTTGAAACAGGCAGTAAACTGAGAGACACTGCTAAACTTGTTTTTGCGACATCCGCCTTTGAAACTGTTGATATGAGTTCATGCACAGAACTAACATTTCTGAACTATGCCCTATTTTACCAATGCAAAAAACTAAGATCCATCATTCTTCCACCAAATTTAAATCGAATTGGTTCTGCTTGTTTCCAAGAAACCTTTAGTTTGACAGAGATTACTTTTCCAGATTCCCTGACATCAATTGATGGATGGACAACTTTTGGCAAGGTTTTCTATAATAGTGGCCTTGTGAGAGTTAATATTAATCGGAACTCGAATTTAGCCTATATTGGTGGTGATGTTTTCGCTGATTGTAAGTTCACATCTTTTTTTATCCCATGGAAATGCACTTCAATTGATGGATCAACCTTTTCTGGTTGTCCGTTAACTGAAATTATAATTGATGAAAGAAATCCTACTTTTAAAACTGATGGAAAGATCATTTATTCAGGTACTAATAACAATACTCTATTTTTTGTTGTTTCGACAAAAACTGGATCATTTACTGTCCCTGAATATGTAACAGTAATTTCATACTCAGCATTTAGAGGCTCTAAGCTCACTGAAATTAATATGCATAAAAAAATTACAAAAATCAATTCATGGAGTATGTGTGGGTGTCCTATTGCTTCTTTTACTTTCCCAAGTTTAGTTACATATGTTGCGGATAATATGTTTTATTTGTGCACATCACTGGTAACAGTATACCTGACTGAAAACATAACATCAATTCAAGATGGAGCATTTTTATACTGCTATAGTCTCAAAAATATAGTATTGCCATCAAAACTACGGGAAATTGGAAAAGAAGCTTTTTCAAATTGTTTTAGTTTGACTCATATTTCTCTCCCCGAATCATTGCAAACTCTGGGTGATGGTGCATTTAGTTCAATTGATAATATTATTATTGACTCACAGAATCCAAACATTGTTGTGGATGGCTTTAGTATGTATACTGATAAGAATCAAACATTATTTATTTATCTGGGGTCAAATCAAGACTCAATAGTTAGAATCAAATCTGAATGCAATTATATAGCAGCACAAACGTTCTTAATGAAAAAATTCAAACATGTCTACTTTGAAAACAATGATAGTATGACAATAGGAGCATCTGCATTTGCCAATTCTTATATTCAATCAATAGAAATGCCTCCGGGTTTGAAAAAAATAGAAGGCAAAGCATTTGCAGCATGCCATAATCTCGAGAATGTGACATTCTTAGGAAATCAACTGAAATCAATTCCAGATTCTTGTTTTATTGATGCTTACAATCTTAAATATATCACCCTTCCAAAATCAATAGAGAGCATTGGAAATTATGCATTTCAATCATGCACGAATCTTAAAAATCTCGGAATTGCTACACTTAATTCATTAACTAGTATTGGCATTGCAGCATTCATGTGGAGTGGAATCACTTCGGTCAGACTTTCAGACTCAGTTAGCACTATTGGTTCAGCCGCATTCAATGCAAGCAAAATCACCGATTTATCAATCTGTTGCAACATTTCACAGATGATGTGTCAATATTGTACTTCTCTGACAACACTCGAACTTAGGGGTGGTGTTTGCGAGATCAATATTTATGCATTTAAAGGTTGCAGTTCTTTGACAGGGTTCACTATTCCTCAGACCCTTCATTTCATTAAGAGCTTTGCATTCCAAGACTGTGATTCTCTTAACGATGTATCTATGGCGACTAATGGCAATCTTCAAACTATTGAAGGTGGATGTTGTTCAAATTGCATCAGTCTTAAAGAGATCAAACTTTCCCAATATGAAGAAAACTTTTCATTTTACAACGGTGCTCTAATGAACTTCAATCAGACGCAACTTATTGTTTTTATTCCATACAGCGATATTAAGAATTTTGTTGTTCCTACTGACACTGAGGTCATTGGTAGTAATGCATTTATGGGCAGCCCACGTCTTTTGCGTGTTTTCTTCAGCGGCAATAAGATTAATAGAATCAACTACCAAGCCTTCAAAAATTGCAGAAGTTTGAGCCTTGTTTTCTTTTCATCATCTAAGATTGAAGTATCATTTGGCAGTGACGTTTTTTCAGGCTGTATCAATCTTCGCAGTTGTGGCACTTTCTCAGCTCCACGAGCTGTAAAAGAAACACTTATATCACAAGGTATTCCAAGCATTGCTTTTAATGATGATTGTGATACATCAGTCACGTGTAAAATCCGCCATGAATTCAAGATATCGGCCACATATCTTACGCCATTCATTTTAATGTGAGTTTAAAACATAAATAAATATATTTTAGTTATTTGTTAAATTTTTTAGTTTTTCTTTGCATTGTCATTAGTCTTCGCCTGTTTTAAATCGTTGTAATTTCATAATATGATGTGATTACAATAGATAATTCTCAAATGAATTTGCCATTAGATAAATATATTGAAGTGAAATTTGAGAAAATTCATCGAAAATTTGGAAAACTTTTCCAATCAATTTCAATGTCAAAAACTAATTTTAGATACATCAGTCACATGTAAATGTATTGAAAATGAGAATTATAACCGAAATAAAATAAAATTTTATATAACATAACAAAACATAATATATATATATAACAAAAACAAATATTGCGTACTATGATTTATAAATCAGAGTAGTGGTGATCCATAATATATCTCATAGCGAGAATAAAATAAATTATAAAGGTGCTACTGTAATTTCGCGTCTTCTTGTAGATCTGTATCCTGGTTTTTGTGTACCATGCATAATTACGAATGCTATTAACAATCCAAATGTAATTCCCAGAGCCATATAAGTCAAAGCTCCGTTTTTCATATCATTTGTGTATCTATCTTTCATTACTGTAAAGCAGGCATCTGTAAATGATTCTGTACATCTGTCTTTTGGATACTCTCTTGGACGATGAAATCCGCAACATTTGAGATTTCTTTCAATTATGTTGATTTTACGAGTATTTATGTTTTCCATCCATGTGTCTGTAAGTGTAACAAAGTATGATACAGGATCTAAGTACATTTGAAATCCGAAATAAAAATTAACGAGCATTGATAGGAATGCAGCCATTAGGAAGAGATAATATAGCGAAATACTTCGGAATATAGTAAATGCAGCACCTGCAATAATGCAAACAACATAACTTGAAATTGTATAAATTGATAAGAAATAAAGACGTTGAGAAAGGTATATAATTCCTGTACTATAGAGCCAAGCAGTGACTGAAACGTGTGAATAGATTGCTAGCATTAATCCAATCCCTGAAAGCGCAAAAAAAGCTTGAATATGCATTTTAAAAAAAGTGACAAAATCGAATTATCCAAAATCTATTTTTTAGCACTTATAGCATGGAATTTCATATGTATTGTATGTATCAATTCTTATTAATAAATGTGTAGAAGCATATACATAAGTTTGTTGTAAAATTCTGCAAAATGTATTCATTTGTTTCAAAAATAATTCATTGTTATTTGTTATTGTTGAAGTAACCATATAAGTAAGACTATAAATGTATGTCTTGCTAGTTATTGTTTGATTCCTTTTCAGTAATTTCCGAAGAAAGAATCTTCACTTGAAAAAAAGTGTGTAATTAAGGGAAAGATAAACAGTTAGATTTATATTAGTATATTAGAAATGGAAAAGAGTAATTACTGAGCAAGATGTTCAAGAGCGATTTCTTTCTCGTGGAAGAGATCGTTTTCTGTGAAAGCAAGTTTCTCACGGAGCCAGTCATTGACCTTGAAACCTTCAACAACGTGGATGTGGCCCTCCTTGTCAACATTGCAAGGGAATGAGAAGACAACACCTGGTTTGATGCCGTATGGGTTACCTTCTGGAACTGGGATACCCATTGAGAGGACTTCTCCTGGAGCTGTTCCGAAGAGCCAAGCCTTCATGTGCTGAATTGCGGCCTTTGTTGGAGAAGCAGCACTTGTGAAGCCACGGTGCTCGAGAATGTCCCAAGCACGATGTCCGATCTTCTTGAAGAATGTATCGAAAACGTAATCATGATCGAGAACATCAACAACTTTCTGGGTCTTTCCATCCTTAGTGAATGTAGCTTGTGTAAGATCGGCAACCATTGATTCACCATGGTTACCCCAAACGATGATGTCATGGATATCATGAACGTGGACTCCTAATTTGGAGGCAACTTCGTAGTAAGCGCGGTTATGATCGAGCATGCTGAGAGATGAGAAGTTCTCTGGCTTGAGGTTCTTTGCATGGAGCATTGCGATTTCGCAGTTTGTGTTATCTGGGTTACCAATAACAAGAACTTTGACTGTTGGTTTAGCCCACTTTGAGAGGTATTCACCAGTGTTCTTGAAGATAACGCTGTTTGAGCTGATGAGGTCTGCTCTGACTTGGCCTGGCTTGAGTGGCATTGAAGCAACTAAGAAAGCGCAATCAATATCCTTGAAAGCGGCTTCTGGTTCAGTTGTGGCAACATAGCCAGCAAGATGTGGGAATGCACAGTCTTCTAACTCCATTGTAAGAGCTGTAAGTCTGTTCATGGCTGGTGGAATATCGAAAAGATGTAAAACTACTGGACGGTCGCCATATAATTCACCGCCTGCAATCCAATGTGAAAGGATGTATCCGATTTGTCCTGCGGCACCTGTGATGAGAACGTGAGCTGGTTCACTCATTGTTTTAAAATGAAAAATTTAGATGGTTCTCAATTGGTGGCCTTGTTACCTATCAAAATTTTCTTTGAGTATTCAAATTATCACGGTTCATTAACAATTTTAAAAATCTTCCATAACCAATCACATTTGAACCAATTTTTTTGGGAAATTATAATTAGTATCTGATGCTCAGCAATTATCCAATAAAACAATAAAAAATTTTCTGATAAACCTTTCAATTATTTTGATTGCTATTTGGCTCGATTTTGAATGAAATTGTTTTGTAAGGAGAAAAGTATTTTTCATATCGGAGGCAAAATTATTGAGTAACACTATGCTGTTCCATATTTCCCATCGTTTTCAAAATGTTCTCCGAATTTCTGAAAGTTGTTGTCAGGATTTCACTTTTGATTTATATATGATTTCGATTTGGATGTGAAATATATAATTTAAATTAATATGAAATGTCGATAATGTTGTTTTTAGTATCTAAATTTTTATCCATAAAAAAGAAAGAATTAATCTTTTATTTTTGGAGTTGTTTAATCATAATTTGAAATATTTGTTAATTGACATTTTAATGTATCCAATTATTTATCCATAATATGTGGAATGAAATCTAAATGCAGTAAAATCGTAAATCGATCATTCGGAATGAGTTTTAAAGACTACAATGAAGCTCCATGAAGAAAAAATAAGGTTTTGTATTACCAAAATATCTTCAATTGATATTGTTCCAAACAATTCAGAAAATACACGATGTTTTGCAAAGTTAAACATTAATTGTATAGTTATACCAGATCTAAATAATCCAATTGATCTGTCCATTTCTGACTAACTGGCTAAGAGGCAACTCTGTTTTTAGTATTTTTGAAAAAGTTCTGTGGGAAGTCATCTGTAGAGGATGACAACCCATGGAATAACTTTTTCAACAATCAATTCACAGGTGAAAAGATAAAATATTGCCGGAACTGCAATCCTTTAGCAGGAAAAGGTCAATATTACTTAGATGAATGCAATTTTTATGGAGATAATGACCGAGTTATAAACTTTAATCCAGTTAATAACTCATTGTTTCTACATAATCGCTGTTCGTTTAGTAATTGCTTTTCATCAGGAAATGCAAGTTGTATTTACTTCAGTATTGGCAGCAATAGTTCAATTGTACAACGAAAATTCTGCTGTACGAAATGCATATGCCAGAAACTTGGCCATTTTTCATTCACAAAAGTTGGCGGAGACGATTTAAACTTTATTATTGAAGGTTCTCTGTCTGATGTAGGAAAAGAAGATATTGGCGAAGAATCTTTTAGAGTTTCTAGCGGTAACATCCTAGTTTCATCAACAAACTTCTCATTTTGTATTGCTGCTCAAAAATCTGCTGGACATTTTGAGTGTCCTCTATCTAAACACACAACAAAAATTAACTACACAACCATTGTAAATAATAGAGCAACAAATATTTATGGCGAAGTTATCGATATTCATTATTTTGCTGATATTGATTCATGCAATATTATAAATAATACCAATTCGAAATCAACGTCTGGGATTGTTTACCATGCGTTTAATTCGCTTTCTATTGAAGACTGTTCATTTATTCAAAATGTTGGGCCTCAAGGTTCACATTTAATATATAACGATGGAGATCAATTAATAGTTAAATATTGTTTCATCGATAGTTCGATTCCCACAACATTTTGGGTAAATGTTGTGCCTATTAGTCCAAGAATGTTATTCTCTAACGATTTGGCTCATTTTTCAACTGAGATTTGCCAAGCAGAATTTAAGATTATCAGTCGAACTGTAGATACGTTTGATATGCTTTGTATTCTATCAATTATCGTAAATATTAATTTAATAGCATAAAATAATATATATATTAGCATGTTCTCTAAAATACGCTCATATAATTATATAATTTGGTGGAATTAAATAGGATATAAGGTGGTTTTAAACTCAAATTTGAACAAAATACAAACCATTCATTATCATGACAAAAAGGAACGAATTTATTGAATACGTTGATGAAATTATGAATGTTTCAAATAGTCTCAGTTCTATTTGAGGCTAAAAAAATCAATTTTATTTAGGACATGTTGCATGTTCAAAATATGATAAATACTAATTTTCATTATAATAGCATGAACTATTTCTTCTCTCCAAATTTTGAAATAATGAGATTTGGAGCTGTCATCTTTATTGGAATTTGAAAAAATTGCAAATCCTATGGGTTTTTAGAACTATCACGGCAGTTGAATTATACCTTTTATGCAGGATTTGATATCTAATCTTTCCTTTCAAATTTCACATTTGAAAGCATTCTCAATTTTTATTACCCATAACCAATACAAAGATGCACAGAACTGTATATATTGTGTGATTTCTGAAATTGTGTCAGCAATAAAACAGTTAGTTAAACTTAGTCGACATAAAAATGGTAAATTTTTAGTAATCATTAATTGACACAATATGAATTTAAATTTGAATTGAATGTGGCTACGCATCTATTTTCATCATCGTTATTAGCCAATACAGTAAGAATTCAATCAGCCACATATTCATTTAGCAATGGCATATTGACTGTTTCTGGCGATGGCACTATACAGCGCTCTGAAGTTGAACAATATTCAACGCAAGCAAATGAAATCCGTATAACGGAATCGGTTGAAACAATTGGTTCCAAAGCTTTTGAAAACTTCAATCTTTTAACAAAAGTTCAAATAGATTCTACATTGAAAACAATTGAGTCTTTCGCATTCAACGGAGATACTGCCATAACGTCCATAACATTGCCAAGCGGTTTGTTGACACTTGGAGATAGCTGCTTCCAAGATTGTTCTGGCATTACAACAATTTCTTTACCAGAAAGTTTAACTGCAATAGGTCAGGCAGCATTTAGTGGAGCATATTCGTTAACAGAAATCACAATACCACAAACCGTTACAAGAATTGAGAAAGATACTTTCAATTCTTGCACGGGTCTAACAAGAGTAACATTTAGCGTAGAGACAACATTCATCGGCGAAAGTGCATTTGCAAACTGCGATGTTTTAGTATTGGTCGATTTACCATTAATTGTTACAGAATTAGGTGCAAATTGTTTCAGTCACTGTGTTAGCTTTACCAGATTCGATTTACCACCAGAACTTATAACATTACCTGAACGTTGCTTTTCTGGATGCACTCTTTTAGAAACTATCAATTTTAATGACAAAATACAAAATATTAACAAGTATTGCTTTGAAAGCTGCAACAGCTTAGTTATAAGTAAGCTCCCTTCTACAGTTACTAACATCCAAGAAGGTGTTTTTTACAATTGTCAGAAAATTACAACTTTTAACATGACAGGATTGCGATACGTATCACCAAGGCTCTTTGCCAACTGTAACAAACTGGAATCTATCACTCTCGATGGTTCATTAACAAGTATACAAGAATCTGCTTTTGAAAATTGCACAAGTTTAGTAATTTCTTCACTTCCTTCCATCGTATCTAATATCTTCCAAAGAGTATTCTATGGCTGCTTATTAATAGAAACGTTTACTTGACCAAATCGTGCAACAACAATACCTGCATACGCATTCTGCAATTGTATTAAACTGAAAACTATCACATATGATCTTAACAGGCTTACTGAAGGCTTTGAAAGCTTTGCTTTCTGCAATTGCACATCTTTGACAAGTATTCAACTCACTAATGATTTAAGGCGTTGCGGAACGAATGTTTTTGAAGGATGTACATCACTTACAGGACCTATAATGATACCATCCAGTCTCCAAGAAGTTCCTAATTATATGTTCAAAGGCTGTACAAAACTCCAATCAGTCGAACTTGATTATGGAATGTTTGGAATTGGTGAAGGTTCGTTCATGGGCTGTGAATCTTTGTCAGAGATCACAGGTGACACTTTAAGTCTTTATAACTTGGGTGCAGCTGCTTTTTCAGGATGTAAAAGTTTAACTTCTTTTGGAGATTGGCCATATGAGATATATTCAATGCCAGACAGATTCTTTGAAGATTGTTCAAGTCTAGATTTCACAATACCTACAGATGTTTCGCTTGGTTCTAAATCATTGAAAGGAATGAAATTTACTGAATTAGATTTATCAGGAGTTCCAAGTTTCATGGAAGATACATTTGACAATTGCAATAATCTCCAAAAAGTGACGGTTAAAATCTCTAACATGCAATCTTTGACAAGATCTCCTTTTGCATTATGTTCTAATCTTGTTGAAGTCAATTTGATTGACAATAATGTTGTGAAATTATATAAGAATTTCCTGAAGGATTGTCATGCACTTGAAAAAGTGACAATCACTTCATCTCATGTTAATTCAATTGATGAAACATTTTTCTTAAATTGTGATAAGCTGAAAACGGTCGAAATAACAGTTACAGAAGTATTAGATGCTATTACATTTGGTTCTGAGTTATTCAGTACTTGCACTGCATTAGAAACCGTCAAAATCAAAGCAATACAAGTAGTAATCAGTAACGATCTCTTCAGCAGGAATTCGCACTTAATAGAGTTCGATTATGAAGGAACAGGAATCAATTTTGGAAAGAATGTTTTTGCAAACACAAAACTGCAAATTTTGAATGTCAATTCTCCAACATCAACATTCACATTTAAAGAAGGAACATTTGATAATTGCGAAGAGCTTACAACTGTTCATTTAACTACGAAAGATTTACATTTAGAGAATAATTTATTCAAGAACAAAGCCAAATTAAATGATTTAGTAATTGTAGCTCAACAAGTTTCATTTGGAGATTATTGTTTCTTCGGATGTTCTCTTTTAACTAAAATAGAAATGAATTTTTACATTAATATCATTGGAAAACATTGTTTCCAAAATACATCTTTGACATCATTCAAAAACAAATTAAACGTAATTCTGATTGATGAATGGGCTTTCGCAGGATTATATACACTCAAAGAATTCATTTGCGAACAAACAATTAAAACAATAAATGCAAAAGCTTTCTTTGATTGCAGATATATGACACTTTTCCATGTTACTCACTTGTTCCAGAGTTTGGGTGATTATTGCTTTGAAGATTGCATCTCTCTCCAGAACATGAGTATAAATGCTGAAGTTTTAACACTTGGAAAATACTGTTTCAGAAATTGTGATACTTTACAAAATGTCACGTTTATAGTTGAAGGAAAAATGACATTAAATAACAACATATTTGAGAATTGCGATTTGTTAGAGACATTCTATCTTTCTGCTTCTCAATTAGTATTAGGTGATGAATTATTCAAATATTCTTCAAAGCCATTAACTGTTACATTAATTTCGGATGATTTAGTTTTTGACAGAAATTCATTTGCTTCGTCAACAATTGCTCATTTAACAATAGATACAAGAAATGGTGCTTTGAACATGCCAAAGAATTTGTTTGAACAATCTAATGGTTTGCAAACATTGAAGATTACTTCAAAGAGTGTTAAGGGTGCACACGAGAGGATCATGTAAACTTCAGAATTCAGAACCTTATTTTTAGGCATTATCTTGGCTACCTATTTAGGCTCGAAAAGCAAAAAATATCAAAAAATACAACTTGACTCCATTATGACCCTTTCATGGAGGTAGTTTTTATCCTCTAGTATTTTCCCTTTGAATCTCTTTACAATTCGAAATCAAATTCAAATCTCAGTAGAAGAAAGGAAGAATCGACTTACTACGGTTGTAATACGAATAAATACATATATTTAATTATTTTTATTTACATAATAATTGTTTGAAGCTCATATTCCATCAAATTTTTAAATAAAAACATTAAAATGTTGAAAATGTTCATATATTTTAATAGGGTTTTGGCACTTTATTGAGGAATTACTACATACATAGTTGAACTGAACTTGATATTTTGAAATTTAAATTATTTATCAAAATTAAAATTTAACTTGAAATTTATAATTATTTAGTCATATTTTGCATAATTCTAAGTAGATTTTGTAAAAAATCAAGAAAGAAAAATTTTAACGTGCTTTATCTTTTCTTTTTTATAATAATACATATTATTATATAATTAACATATTCATAATGTTTCACCCTTTCAAAAATATAATCCTCCTCCTCTCAAATAAACGTACATACGGGTGGCCTCTTTTTTCAAAAAATTAAAATTCAAAATTTTGGGCTCAAATATTAGAGATTTTTTCAACCTTCAACGATATATGTTGTCTATATCAGACCTCCTTTCTTTTTGATACTTAACATTGTTCCTAAATCTTAGCCGTTAAGGCTGTTCTGAAAATATTTTTTTTCGAAAAAATTCGAAAAAAATTCTTAAAATTCAAAAATCCCTTAATTCCTGAGGATTTTGGAAAAAAGTTTTTACATGAACATGTGTATATTATATGAAGTATATTGATAAGGTAAAAATCAAATTTTATTGCATATTCATCGAGAAAATAAACTAACGAATCCCTCAAAATTGAGAGGGTAATCCTCCTCCTCTCAAATAAACGTACATACGGGTGCACCCTTAACTTTGAAGATCAAATTCTTGAAAACAGAAATCAATTAGAAACTGTTGAAATTATTTCTCAAAAAGTGACAATTGGAAAATATTCATTTTCCAAATGTTCGGCAATGAACAAATTTAATGTTTCGAATGCAGATGAAGTGACAATTTCTGACTATGCCTTCAATTTATGTCAAAACTTAAATGACATTGAAATTGAAAACATTATTTCAATTGGAAGCTTTGCTTTCAATAAATGTCAGTTCACTTCACTTACAATAACATCATATGATAAAGATGTTATTTTAGGAAATGGCTGCTTCTCTGAATGTCAAAAATTGGAGAGTTTCACAATGACATTAATTCTTGAAAATTCTGTTTTCCTGAATTGTCACATTTTGAAGAATTTGACACTTTTCACTCAAGTTAAAGCAAATATTGGTGATTCTTGCTTCGAAAACACTGCTTTAGAGAGTGTTAAAATCAGAGGAAATGTTAAAGAAATAGGAAAGTATGCTTTCGGAAATTGCAAGAGTTTAGTTCGTTTTTACTTGGAAGATTCAAGTAAGGAAACAGTTTTGAATGATTACGCATTTTGCAATTGCATGAAATTAAGTAATTTCACAATTGTAGATGGAGAAATTGAAGTTGGAAAATATACTTTCTGCAATTGCGCTGAATTAAAAGAATTTACCGTTAAAAAAGTATCAAGTTTCGATGAATATTCATTTTGCAATTGTACAAGTTTGATTGAAGTTATTACTGAAGGTGTTGATAAGATTTCATCACACAGCTTCGAAAATTGTGTCTCTCTGACTAATTTCTCTTTCGTGTTGAAAGCAAAAGAAATTGGAAGTTACAGTTTTAACAGTTGTAAAATCAAAAACTTATCTCTCACAGAAGATAAGAAATTGACGATTGGAGAGTATTCGTTCTACAACTGCAGTGAATTAGAATTTGTTTCTATTGTTGCAGAAGAGGCATCAATAGGAAAATTTGCTTTCTCTAATTGTCCAAATTTGACAACATTTTATTGTTGCTCTGATATTGAAAGTCCTCCAGAATTTTTGTTCACAAACTCTCCAAATCTTAAAGAAGTTTTTGTTGGAGATGATTACGACTATGACAAACTTGGAGAAGTAGATGTCAAAGTTTCTGATGTTTGTTATTCAGATTCTGATGCACAACATGACAGGAAAGTTAGAATTGCATGGATTTCTTCGATTTCCGTTTTACTGTTTATTCTTGTTGTTGGTGGTGTTGCTATCGCTATTTGGTGGGCAAAGTGCAAATCTCCAAATGTTGACACAATGGGAGATAATGAATATGCCCTCACAACAAATAACGAAAGTGCTCAGCCTGAACTCTAAAATAATAAAGTCTTTTTTTTACTCTAGAAGTGACCATATATATATTTATTTGGAGATAGGAAATCTATGCTTTTCATCATTGTAAAGAGGGTCTTATTGAAAACAAAAATACTCTCTCCAATTTAATATTTTCTTTGACATTCTCTCAATTTTCGATGTAATGGTAGGTTAGGGGATCTAATCTCTGAAATTTAGTTTATATTATTACTTCACGGGGAAAAAGATGATGGTTTTTTAATATTTAGTAAAATAATTATGATAAGAGAAAGTTTCAACTTATTAACTTTAGAAATAATCTTATTGATAAATGCAAATTCTGCATGGATTTTACTTGTTGAAAGATAAACCAATTTGTTAGAAAAATAGTCCTCACAACAAACAACAAATAGTCTTAAAGCACAGTAATATTATTTGTTTTATTATAGTTCTTGTTATTATGAGAAATATATAAGAACTATTGATGGTGGTTTATAATTATGAAGAGTTAGAAATGTTTACTAAAGTTTGTAAAAAAAGAGAAAGTTTATTTACTTTAGAAATTCGTTTATTGATAATTGCAAATTCTGCTTGGCAATTACCAGTTGAAAGATGAATCAATTTGTTAGTAAATAGTTCTCTTGGATTAGTAGGTTCTACATTTCTATAAAATGTTGTTGAAATCGAATTGTCAATGTAACAACTATCAACTGTTAATTGATCATTACCAGAGTTACGTATCAAATATGAACCTTCAGGAGTAGTGTTGTTAATAAAAGAACAACTTTTTACAGAAAGAGAATTTTGATAATGGTAAATAATTCCATATGTTGATTTTGTTATGGTATTATTTATAATATTACATGAATCAATCAAAGCGTAATAATAAAAATTTAAAATTTGATATTCTGCTAAATTATTAACAACAGTTGAATAGTTAAATGTTGTTATGTAATTAAGTGATTCACATTGAAATTTTCCAGCAGATCGGAAATTAGCTTTATTTGATGAGAAATTTGTTGATGAAACTACGACATTGCCATCCATTGCTTGACAAATAGCATTTCCATTAATACTTCCTGCATCAAAAAGGGAACTTTCAATAATTAAGTTTAAGTTATCTATGTCAACTTTTGTATATGAAAATTGGCCATCACCCTTGCCTTCGCATTTCGTACAACAGAATTTTCGTTGAACAATTGAACTATCGCTGCCGATTTGGTAGTAAATGCAACTTCCACTTGATGTTGAAGTGCAATTACTAAAAGAACATCGATTATGTAAGAATAATGAGTTGGAAATTGGGCTAAAGTTGACAACTCGATCATTATCATCAAAAAAATTACATTCGTCGAAGTAATATTGACCTTGACCTGCTGGAAGATTACAATTTAGGCAATTTTTAGTTTTTGAACTTACAAATTGTGAGTTGAAGTATTTGTTCCATAAGTTATCATCTTCTTCAGATGATTTTTTTGCAAATTCATGAAAAATTAAGACAAAAAAAACCGCAATTTAAATTGAATCAGTAAAAATTTTCAATTCTTTTTCCAATAATTCAAATTAAAAGGTGGAATACTCTGGATGTAAACATGCTGCATAGCAATGTTAGGAGTTGTTCGGTCGAAAGTGAAAGAACAGAAATAAAGTCGTGGAAAATAAGGATATAATTTTCATGTATTGATAATCTCACAAGACTGTATGTTGCGTGTAAAAAATAGATAGATAATGAGGCATTTGAAAGCATAACGGGCTTTATCTTGAAGAATAGAAGAAAAGAATTAAAATTCAAATAAGAATTTCAAGGATGCAATGAGAAAGTATAAAAAAAGAGAAAGAATTATTGTATATAGAATGTATTTTTATAAGAACCGTAATATTGATTTCCAGAAATCTAAATCATTTAAGCCTGGAAGTCGAAAGAGTTGAAGTCAAATTCATCAAATGAGTTAATAATTAGATTTGGCTTAGCATCAAGCTTTTCAAGGAACTCATCTGGTTTAATTGTCTGTCTCCATAAGAGAACAGATGGCATCTTAGCAGAGTTTGCAGCTCTGACGCCAGAAGGAGCATCCTCAAATACAAGAACGTTTTCTGGTGGGAAGTCGCAGATGTTAGCTGCGGTTTTCTGGAAAATCTCTGGATCTGGCTTAGCGTTTGAGACTTCATCACCACAAAGGACATAGTCGAAGTACTTTTCGAAGTCCTTATGTTTCTGGATTTTGTCATTATAGCCGTGTCTCTCAGAGCTTGTAGCGATTGCGACCTTGAGTCCCTTTTCTTTGAGAGTTTTGATGATTCTCTCAACGCCTGGGACGAGATTACACTCTGGTAACATTTCATCGAGATACTGGTAGCGAAGCTTAACCATTTCTTGTGGAGTGAGGTTGAGCTTGAAGTGGTTGATAATATTTCTGCAGACTTCAATATCTGTTCTGCCATTGTTCATGTTAAGCATCCATTCTGGGTATTCTTGGCCAATAATGGTGCTGTTGACTTTGCGGTAGATTGGAATGGTATCAAGAAGAACACCATCGCAGTCGAAAACTGCAGCTTTGATTGGGTGAGGCCAGATTTTAGTCATTGTAAAGATAAAAATGAATTGAATACACGAAAAAATAAAAATTTACATAGAATTTTTTGAATGAGTCTCAAATAATTTGGTCTGTTATAAAAACACCTAGAATGGTAAATAAGAAAGCCATATCGGTTATGGTTTTTTATGATGTTCGGTTTTGAGAGCTAAATAGTCTTTCGCTCTCAAAAGTTTTAAATTAAAATTGTGCAAAGCTGAATCCAACAATGGTTGGTCAATTGTCATTGTACTGTTTTATTGGGACGGTTTTATATTGATGGGGAAAATATTTTATCCATAAAAAATTTATAATGGTAATGATCTTGTTATTATCAAATCAATAGAAATAATTGATTGCGAATGGTGTCAAATTTTGTTTGCACCAATCATTTTTTGAATGGGGCCAATTGATTTTTATAAGTATTTCGAATAGCCATTATAGGTATTTCGAATGAGATTGATAACTGTGAATTTAAATAAACAAAATTCCGATCGGTTTCAGAGTGAATTCACAATGAATTTCTAAATTAGCTAAGGACCAACATAAGAGCAAGTCGGGAAGAAATGTACATGAAAGGTCGATTTCACATATTAAAATCGGCTAATGATAGCTTCATTCAAAAAATATTACCTCATCGTTAACTGAATAAGTAGGTTTCTCACTCTATATTTCGATTTCTGTTATATGTTAGTGTCGGAAAATGAATTCCAAGAAAATCTGGTCAAACATTTTATCTAGTTGTTTCAAATGCAAGAAAAAATCTCTCAACTCCCGTTTGATAGTTACTTCCCCATACTCTACTTTACATATATCGAGTGTGTACACTCAAAATACAGATTTCATTTTCGATATTCGCAATTAGTTGAATATCCATAGTAATAGGCAATAAATTTTGTAAAATCAGTAATAATTTTTAGTGATTAAATATTGGTGTCAACAAGTTTTGTTTGATATGATGAAAATAAAGAAATATATATAAGAAATTCAATAAAAGCATTAAGTTATAAATTGATCCATGACTGATAATAGTGTAAAGTATAATTACCTCATATATTTCCTATTTACAATGAATTCAGTAGAGAAATTATGCGAAATCTGTAAATAGTTTAATTTAAACAGTTTAATCTGGTTCAAAATGCTCAAACCATATGTTTGAACCTTGAGGATCATCATAGACCTGAATCAGTCAACCACGTTTCGATAAAAATCAATGTATTTATGATTTCAATTTTAAAACATAATTTTTCCATTTTAAACGATTATACGATAGTATTGCGTTATATTGTTGAAAAAAGGCAGATTGGGTTTTCAAAAATTGAGGGAAAACGGCAATTCGTTTAATTTTTGTATCGGCAAAAATTTGCTCTCCCCTTCTTTCTTAGTATGAGTACATATATTGCGCAGGAAGGGCATCTTTTATACAAGAAATTAATCAGAACTAGCTTTGGCATGGCCGGATTTGAATGCAAACGCAATGATCATCGCGCAGTTCTTGTATGGTATGATGACTTAAGAAAGAAAGACTTCTATGGACCATTAAAACCATGGCAAATAGTCAATCGTTTTCCAATGATTAATGTTATATGCAGAAAAGCCCCATTTGTTCGTCTAATTCAGAGAACAGCACAAACATTTCCTTCATCTTTCCACTTTTTGCCAAAGTCATATTTAGTTCCGCTTCAAGAAAAGGAATTCGAAGATGATGTCCACAAGAACGAGAAACGATGGATTGTTAAACCAGATCGTGGTTCATTAGGTGCAGGAATTAAAATCATCGAAATTGGCGGTGTTATTCCAAAGATTGAGCGCCTTTGTGTTGCTCAAGAGTACATCCCATCTCTGCATATTGACGGATATAAATTCGATTTCAGAATTTACGCTTTAGTAGCAAGTGTGGATCCCCTTCGTATTTACGTCTACAGGAATGGTGTTGCTAGATTCTGCTCTAAAAAATCCGGAGAAAAGTCTGTTTTCGCAGAATTAACAAATAAGTCTTTAAACAAGAAAAATCCAGACGTAATCATGACCCAAATCGTCAAGATGATCGCTGATGTCATGGAACGCCTCAAGAGAGAAGGCCACGATACAGATAGACTCTGGTCTCGAATTGATCGTGCAATTGTTTCAACAATTATTACATCTACGAGATTCCTCAAGCGTGGAATGGACAAGCAGTGCCCTCGCATTGGCTTCCAGAGGTGTTTTCAGATCCTTGGTTTCGATGTTCTCCTTGATGAAGAGCTAAACCCAAAGATTCTCGAAGTTAACTACAGACCATCCCTCGAAACTAACGCAGATTACGAAAGGAAGATGAAATCTTCAATGCTCAGCGATTGCATGAAGATTATGGCTCCAGCACCAGAACTCCAGCAGTATGTCATTGACAATTATTCCGATGACCTCGCAGACCGCTGGAATGACCTCATGAGAACTGATCCAAAGCTTAAAAAAGCAATTGATTTGACAAATCAAAAGCACGCAAGGCTTGGCAACGTTGGAAACTTCGTAATGGCATATCCAGTTGACAACGATCGTGTCATGAAGAAGTGGAACAGAATGATTGAGTACGTTGGCAAAATGCCTACAGAATTACGTTCAAAATACCTTCTTCCTGAGATGCTCAAGCGTAAATCGAAGGAGCCGAATACAATGGATACATCAATTACCGAATTTGAAGACAAAGAACGCGAAATGGAGATGGATAACATTTTGGATAACGATACAATCGCTGCTGCTGAAGCGGAAGATGACGAAGTCTTTGCTCAGATAGATGAAAGAGAAAGACTCGCTGCAGAAGAGAATGATGCGAAATTAAAAGCAAGAAAATCGAAGAAGAGCTCGAGAAAGAACTCAGGAAAGTCATCAAAGAAGAACTCTGCAAAGGGTTCAAAGAGAAGCTCAAGAAAACCATCGCCTGGAGATGAAAAACCTGTAGAAGTCGAAATTCCGAAAAAAGATGACGACCCAATTCGCTCAAAGTCTCAGAAATTGCCACCACCACCCCATCCAGTAGATGAGGAGGATGTTCCTGAAAAAATCAAGCCAAAGAAATCAGGATCCAGAAAAGGAACCAAAAAATCTTAAAAATGATTAAGATTTGATTTGTTTTTGTCTTAATCATATCTTTTGTTTTTTCTAATGATCCTGAACAAAACTTTTGTTTTTATCTTATTTGACTATTTTTCAATAATGACATCACAAGTAATGGAATTTGATCCTTTTATTGGCAGGGTATAGTGCTAATAGATTTTACAATTCAAATAAAACTACCGTTTTTTAATATTTGCATGAATTTGCAAAAAAGTCATCTGAAGAAGATGACAATTTGTAGGTTTAAAAACTAAAAATTGTCGAAATTGCGTTCTCCTAGCGGGTAAAGGTCAATAAAAAAAAAAAAAAAAAAAAAAAAAAAAAAAAGGGAGTGGGGCTTCCAGGCACTTCGTGCCTTCTAGCCCTGAGGATGAATGAGTATAATGAAGTTTTTTTTTTTCTTGGGGGATGGCTTCCAGGCACTTCGTGCCTTCTAGCCCCCGAAGATGTTTAGTATAAATGAAGTTTTTATTCGGAAAATTGTTAGTCTTCTTGGTCGAAAACATTATATAATGTGTCGCTTTTCACAAATTATATATGTTTTCATGTTTTGTCACTTTTCTGTCACTTTTCGGGTAAAAACATTTTTATTATTATATATAAATGAATTTTACAAAACCACCGTTACCCTTCTTTGGAAAAAGAATATGTAAAGATATTCTATTGAGAGAACTTAAGAAACTACCGAATGGTCTAACATTTGTAGACTTGTTCGGTGGAAGTTTCTATATATCTCATTTATGTCATACAATATTCCCAGACTCAAAGATTATATGCAATGACTTCGACAACTATATGGACCGTCTCAAACATATTCCAGACACAAACAAAATATTGAAAGAGTTAAAAGAAAAGATACCTATAGGTAAGATGGAACGTATACCATTAGATAAGAAAATACTGTCAGAGAGGTTTTGAAAAAGGGTATTTGACTGGGATAGTATATCTGCTAGACTATTATATAGTGGGTGCTATAAGAGTTCATGAATTGAAACACTTATGTCAAAAGTTTTATATCTTAACTATTGTTTTCAAAGAGGACATAGAAAAATATATTGAGGGTAATAGAGTTTGTGAGATGTCATTGGACAGAGTTGTATGAAAATATAAAGACAAGGAAAATGTTTTTTTATAGTGGACGCCGCCTTCTATAACACAATGGGATTTTCAATACTAAAGTAGACTGGACTTTGAGAGACTCTTTAGAAACTTTAGACGTTTTACATAACCATCCATGCTTTTACTTTACATCCGATAAAAGTGGTTTGGAAAGTGTCATGAGATGGTTAAGAGGACATACATGACTATGAGTTTAGATATGACAAGATAGAATAATATTGAGAGAGGTCCTATAAACTGGAGAAAGTGTCCAATAAAGAATTTTATTGGTAAGTAAATGTGGTTTGAAATAGGACTACTTGTTTTAGGTTTTTTTCCATTGTGTCATTTATTTATTTGACGTGTGCAGAAAGATATAGAGAATATGAAGATGAAACCAATGCCTGCAAATGTCCAGTATATGTACTCGTAAGAGATATTTTTATCTAATATTAAATGGACGCACAGAACTTTAGCGAATGCACAGCAACCTGGACAACCAAACCCAGAGAATATTCCAAATGAAGTTAGAATACAAACTGCAATGGCAAACTATGGTCAAGTGCCAACAGATGTACAAATGCAAACTGCCATGTCAAATGACGCTGCGTTAGGTTTACCACCATGGTATGCAAATATGAGATGGAAAGAGTTTTATATAACAACCCTGAAGTGGGATATAAACAACTCTATGCAGATGACGCGAACACAGGAGTTTGACCCAGAGTATGTTTTCTACCAGAGGAGAAATAGAATGTATGAGCTCCAGTTAAAGAATGCAATGGAACTCAACAGGAAACGTAAGAGACTAGGCGGACATTAGATTTTTACATATAGTAAAATGGGTTTCTTCAGTAGTATTGGAAACTTCTTTCGAAATGTTGGAAGAGGTATATGGAATGGAATAAAATCTGTCGGAAGAGGAATTTGGAACGGAGTCAAAAATATTGGTAAAAGAGTAGGTCAGTTCGTTGGTATTATACCTAAAGACCCTGAACCAGAAGAACAAGCTCCTGTTATACAACAGCCTGAACCTGCACCACAGTCAAGTTGGCAACCAAATCCAACACCTCAACCGTATTAAAATTATATTTTTACCGTTCGATAGTAGTTGTATATGAGACTAAGTTCTAAGTAAAACGCGTGGTATAATGGAATTATTCTTTTTCTTCCATCTGTAGTAAACCATACTTGAAAGTCTGAAATACTTCCACTCGGTGGTTCATATAGCTTTGTAGGTTTTTCGTAAAAGTCATTTGCCAAGCATAAAAAAGAGTTTTGTGCACCAGAAAATGAAGCATGAACTATAATAGCATCTGAGTCGAAAACATTTTCATATGTTCCATTAGGGTTTTCGACTTCATAAAAGTTCGGGTGTACTGGATATTCTGCAGGCTGATTTAACATCCTCAAAAATCTATACCATGCCAAGTTGTTATATTTTGTAGAAATATAAACGTCTTCTCCAAGGTCTTCTATTCTATTGATTTTAACAGTTGCATTTTTCCTGTCATATATAATATCGAGATGGTACTCTCCTTCGTCAATGTTGTACTGTTTTGCATATTCGAGATAGATATCGTTTATTTTTTCTTGAAAAGCTTGAAGAGTTGTTTCTAAGTTTACAAGCAAACTAACTTGTAAAAGTTTTCCCTGTTCAAATTTCTCATACGTACGTTTCTCTTTGTTATAGTATCGAATTTCAAAAGCGACCGTAAATGGGAAACCATGTATGGCTTCTGAAATGAACTTCATTCTACGAAAGCCAATAGCTTTTGTGACGGATGGGTCTCTTAGCCATCTTAACGGGTAGTCAAAACGATAGCCTTCATGCTTTACGGTCTCTGTCTCAAACTTTTGACCGACATTAGTAAAAAGTTCATCTAATGGTTTAGTTGTAGCAACTCTTGAATTTTCTTTTTCTATTGGAAGCATATTTTATCTAGAATAAAAATGTCAAATGAAACAGCGTCTATGAGAGAAATAAAACACAACCGACAACTCATTTTGCAAGCTCTAAATAAGAACACAACAAACTTTTCAAACTATTCTAAGATATCTGAGTCATTGAAAGAAGGAAACTTAAAACTGACGATAAACCCAATGACAGATGAGTTTCTATTTCAAGACAGTAAGAACCATACTGTTTGTATAAATCCAACAAAAAGAACTTTAAACGAGAAACCTATAGATGAACTTCTTTTGAAAGCAGATGTTGACAACAAAGCTGACAAAACATATGTAGACGATGCAATAGCAAAAGAAGAAGAAAGAGCTGACAAAGCTTATGCAACAAAAGAACATACTCATCCTGAACTAGCAGACAAAACATATGTTGACAATAAAATGTCAAGTGAAGTGACAAGAGCTGAAAACGAATATTCTAAAAGACTCATACACATACCATTGCAAATATTACAAACTTACAAGAAACCTTAAACAGGAAAAGTGACGTTGGACATACACATACCATTGCAAATATTACAAACTTACAAGAAACCTTAAACAGGAAAAGTGACGTTGGACATACACATACCATTGCAAATATTACAAACTTACAAGAAACCTTAAACAGTAAAAGTGCCGTTGGACATACACATACATCTTCTGAAATAACAGACTTAAACGTTAGCCTTGAAAAGAAGGCAGATAAGAACCATACACACGATTTCTTCGCAACTGTTGGTATAGAAAATATTGCAGGAACGGTTGAAGAACCTGATGGAACTGGTGGGGATGTATTAAATTGGAAACCTCCTAACTTTCCACAAGGTTTAACATCGGATGAAGACATAACAACGATGAAATACACTAGATGTAGAAATGTTTTTGTCATGGAGGATGAAAACAAAGTTAAATTCACTGCTCAAGATTTATATGACAACAAAGCTGACAAAACATATGTTAACGATGAGTTAGATAAGAAAGCTGACAAAACATATGTTAACGATGAGTTAGATAAGAAAGCTGACAAAACAGAGCTTCAAACGTTAAAGACAGAAATACTTCAAACACTATATCCTATAGGTTCTATTTACACGTCAATGAACTCTACCAGACCAGAAGTAGTACTTGGTTTTGGAACTTGGACTCAAATAGTCGACAGGTTTTTGTATTGTGCAAACTCTTCAAAGGAAACAGGTGGAAGTAAAACGATTTCAGGTGCAAATTTACCTGCGCACAGTCACTACATAAATTTAAGTACATCTGAAGCAGGTTTGCATAGTCATAGATTTTGGGATTGGTCAGGAATGACAAAAGGTAAAGGATATGATGTTAAAGAGGACGTTAAGTTTGCTATAAATTGTTACTGGAGTAACACTGAGGTAGGAGGAAGCCATACACATCGCGTTTCAGGGTATACGCAAACAACAGGACAAAGTAAAGACTACATGCCACCTTACATGACAGTTTACGCATGGTATAGAATTGCTTAGTCGTCATGTTCCACTTCTTTAGCATATTCGTCAGGAGTTGTCTTATATTTGTTAGGAACTGTCTTTGAAAGTATACCACCTTGAACCTTAACAAGTTTGAAACGAGGTCTGACAATAGTAGTTTTATCTTCTGCTTGCAGTCTGTACATTTTGCCATGTTTGCCTAAAACTTCATAATATTCTCTTGTATACTTTCTTCTATTTTTACGAACACGAAGGTGAGTACCTGTCGAGTTCCCATTGTTGTCATAGTCAATAGTATTTTCATATGGGTCGCGTTTAGGTATTTCTATTTTTACTTTGTCACCTTTCTTAAGTTTGAAGCCTGGCATTCTTTCTTGTTTGTCTCTTTTGACTAAACTATTAAATATATAGTCTTTCTCTAAGTCGGGGTTGTTTTTCATTTCTTCGGGGGAGTGGTTTCCCAAACCTTTTTGTTTACGGCTATTGTAAATATTT